TAGTCATTTTGAAGACATGATGATTGTTTAACTTCTTAGCTCTTCAATCTCAATATGTTGATGACTTTTTATCTTCTTAATTGTAGCAACCAATCTTTACTAAAATTTCTTTTATTACATGTGACTTTTCATGTGAATTTTGTATTAAAATTCGCATCAAACATTATTCCTATGAAATTCTGTAGGAATATTTTTTACAAAAAAAAATTACTTACAAATTCTATCAATAATTCTCAATTTTCAAATGCACACAATAAATTCATCCGAAGCATTTGTTTCCACGTCTCCAACATGTGATACATAATCTTTTAAACTCTTAGATTGTAGATTATAAGCCTAACACTCAACTATACAAATCAACTTGCAAGGTAAGTGTTGTCTCAACTTATATACTCTTTAATTATTTTATTTTCAATCTATGTGGGACTTGAAGTTTTTTTAAAATATTAAACTAATAAATTTAATTTTTTTTTTATTTTTCCTACGGATTAAAATTGGCAAGAAAATTCACAAGAAAAATTACCTGCAAAATTTTTCTACCATTTAGTAAACATTACTTATGAATTTAATTTTGCAAGAAAATCTGCAAGAAACAAAATAAAATTCTTACAATATTTTCTGCAAATTTTTACCATGGAAAAAAATTTCTATGATCATTCAAATTATAGAAAAATTTGTAAAAAAATTTTGTAGATTATTTTTCATAAAAAATTTTGTAAGAAAAACCTGTAAATTATTTTTCGTAAATAAATTCATAAAGAAAAATTGTGAAATTATTATTGCAAGAAAATTCGCAAAAAATTTCTGCGAATATTTTTTTGTAGGAAAATTCGCAGGAAAATGACATTTTTATAGTAGCGAATGTTGCAATAAAATGACAAAAAATAAATTAAAAGTTAAGAGTCGCCACCAATGTTTATTTTAGGAAAAATATAGAAAAGTTATAAAATAAAAAATTGTTTATAAAAATAAATTTTGAGTTGAGAGTTGATTATGTTTAAGGAAGGTTTTAGTACCTTACAACAACGTCTATCATAAAGACAATTTAATTAATTAAACAAACTATTTATAACCTACAAAATATAAATCTCACCTCAAATAATTAAATTAACTATGAAATCAAATATATTTTATTGAACAAGTACATATATTTTATTTTAATGAATATTAAAATTATTTATTATTATTATTATTATTATTGTTATGAAAAATGAAATTATTATTATTTTTTGACTCGACAATAATGATTTTCTACTATATCTTCATGTGCAATGGAGAATCAAAGTCATATAGTTCTTTGATATGTAAAAAAAATATTTGTGTGCTGGAATTTTTTAAATTTTACTTTTATTAAATTTTGAATTTCTGAACTATTATGGCTCATACCTCCTAAAATATAAAATTGACAAAAGTGTACTCCAAAATCAATTCATTAAAATATTTTAATTTTTATTATAAAAGAATTACAAAAATTAACTAAAGGAGAAATTTGAATATACCAAACTCTGACAGGTTGTATTCTTAAAATTTTGGAAAGAAAAGACGTTACATCTATTTAACTCTCTTTTTCACATTGATAACTTTATTATTTAATTATTATAAAAGACATCAATATTAATTTACAAGAAAAAACTAAGGGGGTGTATTGGATTAAGATTTTAAAGGACTTTTTAGTTAAAAAAAATTTCTGCAGATTTTAAAAGACTTTGCAGGATTCTACAAGACTTAAAATCAGGTTTTAATGAATTTTGCAAGACTTTTAAATCAAGATTTTAATGGATTCTGTGGGATTTTGTAAAGTTTTGACATTTGATAAAATTTTAAAAAAAATCATACATTTTCAAGCGTCTTGGATGTACCTGCAAAAAGGACTCTGACGATCAAGTTAGTCTTTGTCTATTATCCGTCTTCATACTTATCTCTTACCTGAGTTGTGCGGTTTTCTGATGTAACTACTATAGCGGTTACCTGAGATGAGTTGATTACGGTTAGATCGGTCATTATCGTCACGTGTTATACATCTGATATCGTCTATATACTGAGGTGTCTGTATTATTGACTTCAGGGTCTAAGTCAGCTCATATATAGTCAATACATTACAATGTGATCTCGGTATGATCTTAGTTCTATCTCGGTCCTGCACCTAGGGTGGTACATAAGCCCCCCAAGCTCTGAGCGATGTAAGAGCGAAAGAGGTTAAGGACGAGTGAATGGCCCGAGATCAAATAATGAGGTGTGAAGTGACATGAGGAGTCATAGTGTTTGAGTAGTGACAGCTGGGCATTTAGGGGGTCATGTCGCTTCAGTATGCGTGTTTTAGGGGTAATAATGTTTCATTAATAGGTGCCAAATACGAAACGACAGTTGCCTTGGGATGTGCAGAAAAGAAAGAAAACCTTTGAGTTCTAGAGGGATGCGAAAACGACCATTTAAAGGGGGTCTCTGCACATGTGAATGCATTCGTATTCACTGAGAGAGACGTTAGAAAGTGAAGCGTGAAAGTAGCATCATTTGTGGAGTGTTTGCATTGTGCAATTCCAGATATTCACTCATCCTTGCTGCTTTGCGTTTAAATTTCCTCCACCTTCCGTACGTAGCTCATAGGTTTAGGTTGATGAGCAAGGGTAAGACGAAAAATGGCCAAGGAAAAGGTAAGATGATGGACATGGAGGAAACGAAAGTTTGAAAGAGGGGGGAGGGGGAAACAATCGTAAAGATTCTCATCCTAAAATTGCAGTATCTAGGTATGAATGGGTGAGGGGTGACGTTGGTCAATATAGCAGCAAGTTTGGGGATTTAATGGGAGTAAGCGTGTTGCAACACCATTTAAAGTTTTGTTTACCCCCTATGTTAGAGCAGATCATAATAGAACCCTGTTCTTCGAAAGAACGTGTGTACTTTGAAGGGTCAATCGCGTCACCTAGTGTATACATGTATCAATGCGTGTTTAAGGATTTAGGCGTTCTAATGCCTTTTACACCATTCGAATGTGAGTTTTTGGAAAAGGTTAACATAGCACCAAGTCAATTACACCCTAATAGTTGGAGTTTTTTGCGTGCGTTTCAAATTCTGTGTTCGGTATTAGGGATGGAAGTAAGTTTGGGGAGATTCATGCACTTTTATCAAATAAAATTAGGAGAGCCACCCTTTGGTTGGGTTTCGCTGAGTGGGAGTTCAAAAGGAGGAGGATTATTTCAAATTTTTGCACAATCATACAAAATTTTTAAAAAAGAATTTGTCAAAATTCGGTCTGGTTGTAGTGATCCGAATTTAGATTGTGTCTTTTTCTTGAATGAAAAATCGAGATTCCCCTTCTATTGGCAATCTCAGCCTGTTAAATTTTCTGGCTCGGAAGGTTTAGACCTAACTCCATCCGAGGTGGAAGATACTATCTCGGTCCTGCACCTAGGGTGGTACATAAGCCCCCCAAGCTCTGAGCGATGTAAGAGCGAAAGAGGTTAAGGACGAGTGAATGGCCCGAGATCAAATAATGAGGTGTGAAGTGACATGAGGAGTCAGTATGTATGTATAAAAAAATAAGATAAATGAAACTTCCCCTAAAAAAAAGATAAATGAAAATAACTTCGACAATTCTCATGTTTCTCTTGAAGAGCATCTTTATCTACTTGACAACCATGCTTTTTCAATGGAAACCTCAAAGAAAAAATAAATAAAATAAAAATTATAGTTCTAATGTTTTTCTATTAGGCTAATAAAAAAAACTAGTATGACTCCAATGTTTCCTCTGGTTCCAATTTTTAAATATCCAATTGGTGAAAATTTTGATGTGCTTGAAGGTTTGAGGTCTCCTCCTTATATAAGAGAAGAAGGAGGTGCATGAGATTGTTGTGAGTAATATGAGACTTTTAGTTGAGAAGAAAATAAAGTGAAACTCAAATATTTTTTTTGACAAATCACCTATTTTGACATTAATTTTCATCAAGATGGAGGTGGACTTTGACTTTTATGTTAGAGACAACAATTATAGATTTATTGTCAAGTTCTCTATTGGTGCAAAAAATTATATGATATTGTCAACTTATGTTGTTTAATAGAAAAACTATTAAATCTTTTCTATTTTTTCTTAGTTATTTAGTTAGACAAGAATGTATATACATCTCACTTGTTATTCTATCTTTCTAATTATATTTTTATTTTTTATTTTCTTTTACTTAACCTTTTTTATTACTTCTTTTTCTTTCAAATTTTAGTATTTTCCGGACAAAATTAGACTACTACATTAATAAACACATCTTTACTTATCTTATTAAAGTCTTTTTCAATAAAAAAATAAATAAAAAGAAAACACTTGATATAACATGGCTTGAAAATTCGGCTATTTACCAACTATTTTGAATGTTGTTGGTTTACGTGCTTGTACTTTTTAATTTTTTTTTTTGGTATATTAAGGAAATGTAGATAAAACAGAAAAAAAAAATAAAAAAAAAAACTAAAATGCATGGACTATATCAAAGCCCAAAGAGGCCAAGATGTCATCTGGTGGTGCCTCCCTTTAAAAAACAAAAAATAGCAAGCTTGACGAGAAGCCCAAATAGCCAACATATCTCATTGAAATTTGTACTTCCCTTTCAATGTTTTGATACCTGTAATTGAAATTAATAATTATCTTTTATTTAAATATATTTTTAATATCTCAAATTTAAAATTAATATTTTTAGTTTCTATAATATTAAAAATTTTATTTTAATATTTATACTCGAATTTTGTTAAAAAATCTGTCAAATATTATCACATAAAATTTACTTACTTGTGTGTCTATTAGCAAAAACATCACATTAAACTTAACTGATGTTACATACTTATTATTTCAATCTATCACTTTCAGATATGTTATTAGTGATCTGAAAGATTAAAACACGATTTTTAAAATTATAGAGATTAAAAATAATAATTTTAAATTTGAGAAATAAAGAAAAAACTTTACTCTAAAAAAATCATAGTTAAGCCATTATTTTCTCAACAAAAAAAAAAAACTACTCTTTCGATAAGAAGATATTTGACAATTAAATAGGCATGCATACACCAGCATATAGAACGTGGGCTAGTAGCACACTAGAGAAACAGGCCCAAAATTAGAAAACACTCCTAAGACTCGGTCAAACTACATAACACTCGATAATAAAAAAATGAAAACCAAATAAGAGAGGCCATCATCTAACTTCAACAGAGAGGTCTAAGTTTTATTTTAGTTTTTCATATAAAGGTAGTCTTTAGCTTGTTAATTAATTCCTCACTTCTCTAGAAGCTTAAATAAAATACATTAATCGGTTAAATTTAGGCAAAGATGATATAGCTTCGATGGCAGTTCCTAGAGGCCATGCTGTTTCCACAACAGCATCTTCATATTCAATTCCTTTTGCCGCAGTAATCTCTTGCTCTGGATCAAGGCCTGCAAAAAATTGAATCATTAGTCATGCAAGAAAACATTATAATTGAAATTGAAACAGAATGCACTTAATCTTAAGTTTGAACACTGATATAATTCTTTCATATAAAAATATAATTAGCCAACATGAGAAAATATCAAGTTGACAATGTAAACTTACCAAATCCATCAACAAGCAATGTATAGTGGTATGTGAGATCAATGCATAAATAAGGAAGTTTTTCATCCGGAACACGTGGAAAAGTAGATTTGATATCCTCGAATGGTACTTGACAAGCTTGTGTAGCTGCAATTTCCCAATCCACAGGACGAACTTTGGAATTGGGTTTCTTTGGATCAGCGAAACCAATCTAAAAGAATAAACAACGTAGTTAATTAGCATGGTTAATGGGGCATAACAAGTGACTTATTCAATTCCATGATTATATGAAATTAATATAGCACATACATCTGAAGCCCTATAATATAAAGCTGAAGTAACTACAAGATTTTTCTGTCCACTTCCTCTTCCACCATCCCATATCCCACCAAATGTGCAATTTCCATGGCTACATGGCTCATTCACCCTGAGAGCCTCAAGAGCTATCTCTCGGCACTCTTCAAAGCTGGAACCAGAACTGGGGGCATAGAGCTTATAATCCACTCCAGAGTATGTGTAGATCCCTTTCAAGAATAAAAAATGTTCATGTTATTTTTTTTTTATAGAAGCAAATTTTTATTCAAAAGAGAGTTAAGTCATCATGATAATCAAATTAAGTCCTATGGATTAGGTTTTCATGTTATTAGTAGATTATTTGCTTGAAAGAATATTAAAATATTCAACTTGAAATTAGAAGTTTTACAACCATTATTTATACTATTTAATGAGTACAAATTTTATAGAATAAAAATAAATAAGTGATTTTTTTTTATCTATGAGTATGATCATCACAATATTCAAAAATTAACAATTAAAAATTAATTTATATTTATAAAATGTAATTTTTTTATTAACTAAATATTATTTTAACACTATCAAAAATGAATTAATAGAGCATTAGATCGAATCCTATATTTTAAGATATGTATTTTTATAACTATAGGATTAGAAGACTTGGTTATTAAAAGGGTGATTTAATTAGCATTAGGATTTGTAACAAATGAAGATGCTATATTTACCATCATATCCAGCTAAAATGCAAGGACTAGCAGAACCATCAGTGACCTTGAAAATCTCGGCACGAGCTGCTTCGTTACCATAGTGCAAGTAACTGCAAGAATAATATATACATGTTAATTAAGGCCTCTATATATATTATAGCATGGCACGACTCTTGTATAGCAAAGAATCTAGATTTCATGCACTACATCTCATGAATCTAGATTTCAATTTAAAGTGGAAGTGATTATTATGGCCCTTGAGTTTAATTTTGGCAGCATCAAAAGCTTTTATATCCCAACATCTTTTGACATTAATTGGTAATATATATATCAAATAATGAATCATATGAAAACCTGTGAACATAAAGGTCATATTTCTTTCCCTTGAGCACAAGCTTCTTCATGTATGGATCCTCTCCTTCTGGTGCTTCTGGAGCAGTTTTAGCTGTGTTCCTTGAGACAGCATATGCCATTTGAACTGATGCACCTCCAAGATCAACTACTCCCACCGTTTTTGTAAACTTCTTTCCCAACTTTCCTAATAGATAGTTAACTGCCACCTAGAGAAAATTCCCAAGGCATCATCATGATTCATGACAAATTAAAATATATTACATCCCCACATTCATATGCCTCTTGTGGGAGCTTGAAAGATGAAAAAAGTTATTCATAAACATACAACAACTATGCATAAATCATCTATATTGTTTTACTTGAAATTTAATTTTGATTGTATAACTAAGAATTATCAATTCACTGATATATATAAATATATGCACTCCTTTTATTTGTGTGTGCGCTGGTAACATACATAGTAGCAAAGAATCTAATTCTCTAAAAAAAAAAAAAACTTCATGCTTTGACTTTAATTTCATTATTGCTTCTTTCTTTGTTGTTTTTTGATGTAATATTTAGCTAACTTAGGGATATGAAACAGAAGCATACTTATCACAGTTTATTTTCTCATCATGAATAAAATTATTTATTTTTAAGTATTCTTAATTTATGAGTCAAATCCTCGACTATTGAGACTGTAGTCAAACCTCACCTATTAAGAATTTGAAATATTTTAAATTTAAGAATTTTTTTTTCACGCATCAGATTCGACTTGTCCAATCAAATAAATAAATAAATATATATGAGAGATTTATTTACTTCAGAAGTAAGTTTACATAGATTTATTCCATTAAATAATTTAAAATTTACATCAAATTTTAATTATGCAACTATTAAATTAAAAATTCATAATGCATGAATTAAGTTTGCAAAGTTTGAAAAAAAATTAAAAACTATTTAATACTTCATTTCATTAATTCAAATTGATGGATAATCATAAAAATACTTTATACGTTAATCTGAATTAATGAAATAGAATATCAAATAATTTTTATTTTTTTAAAATTAACATACTTAATCTATGCATTAAAAACATTTAATTCAACGGTTGAATTATTAAAATTTGATATAAAATTTGAATTATTAAGTAGAGTAAATCTAAATATGATTATTACTAGAGTAAGTCCTTGCTTATATATATAAAGTTGCTGACATTAAAATGAACATAATCAGTATTGAAATATAATGAAATGAAAGGAACTAATGTGCAAGGTGTACTGTAGTTGTCATCCAATTAATTCGTAATCTAAATGGAAGACAGCCATACTGATGTCTGATGCGAACCAATGATATATATATATATATATATTTTCATCGTAGACCGTTTGTTTCCTGGTTCTCATCTTTCTTTTATTTACACTATACCGAAAATGAATAAATTTAGGAGTATGTAAATGTGAAACAAAATTTTATATATAGTTTCGTCATACCCATAGATAAGAACCTTCGTTGGTTCCATCAATTACAGCTACTGCATTAGGTTGAACGTTCAGGGTACTTCTGTTCTCGAACATATCCCTAACCTTAAGAAGATAAGAAAATGAAAACTTAAGACATTAATTGAAAACCTAGTTAACAAGATAAGAAAATGAAGCACGTGATTACCGCTTGCAATATATTTTCAGCAGCATCTCCATCCAAAAGCCTTAAACCTGCTGTTGCCTGCATTAGCATTAAAAAAATGAAAAGACATTATGCACATGCAAAACCCGTACCTTTACACTTTCCAGCGATTGAAAGTGATAATGTTTTTTTTTTTTTTTTCTTTTATAGTTTTGGCCAAAAACTCCAAAATTGAAACACATTGTGCCAAATACAAGCCTTAGTACTTATTATTAATATACACATGTTAGCCACACACTTTTTTAAATATATTTTTTTTAATTAATTAAAATATATTAATGAAATATAAAAATTTAATAGATCTTCCAATTTATTTCAAGAATCTCTTTTCAGATTTTGTGATTTTTAATAAATTCTAACTAATGAAGATAGGTGTTAGGAGAAATGTGTCACGGAGTGTATTGTTCACCCGCAATATACTCATTAACTCCTAATACACTATTTTTTATGGACTACAATAATTGCAAACTATAATATAATGAGAGATTCATTTTGAATAAGGTGTGAAAATACCAAATTGTGTAAATTTTATAAGAAAAAATATGCGTTCACAAAAAATGTGTTGCTGAGTGTGTTCTTAGCATAACAAAGGACAAACATTGAGATCTGAAACACTCACCCCAAGCTTAAGGGGTGTCTTGGGGTGCAGTTCCTCAGGGACAATACTTTCAGCTTGCTTCAAAAGTGGAACTAGAGATTCTGCAGCTTGTTTGGGATTATCCACGTATGAACTCAAACCGGGTGTGATCTACACCACAATAATGAAGAAATAAAAAAAAAAAAAGAATAATGAACATAAGTATAACTTAATTAAGCAAAAGCAAAGGCAAAGAGGTTTCATCACCTTTTTGGAAAAATCAAGGTCATTGCCAATGTGAAGGAGATCCAAGTTCTGGTCAAAATGGAAGACATGAACACGACTCCCGGTGCTACCAGCATCAAAGATGACAGCATAAGAGGTTATGTCTTCTTGTTTGGGGAAGATCTTACGATTAGTTAGTATGTTTTTCCCAAGATATTGTGAAGAAGAGAGAAGTGGCGATGTGAATAGTAGAACAGTAATGAGGGATAGGAAGCCCATGCTCCTAGTCTAACCTCACTAATGAAAGAGCAATGTAGTTGCTTGAAATGCTCATCACTTGTGTCCACAATATATAATAGCTCTAGAAAGGTATGTCCTGAATCATGAACAATAATGTGCAATGTGACATCTAATTTGATTCAAATCCGTGGCTCACTCGTCTTGTCTTTTACTTCCATCTTCTTTATTTTTATTGTGTTTTAGAATTGTCACTAAAAGAATAATGTTTCAATGATCAATTAAGTAATATATTGACTTTTCAAATTGACGATAATTAATTTATTACTTTTAGCAATTGAAATGACAATTTTGTAGTTTCGGGTACTCTTAGATAATCAATAATAGGTAAATTATTTCATTGGAATTATTTAAAATAAATTATTTTGATAATACAATTAAAAATAGATAAAATTGTTTATAATATTCATTTATATTAAAAATAATCATTCATCAAAAGATGAAAAAAAAAACTAATTAAAAAAATGAGTTGTTAATTTTTAACCCCATCCTCTTCAACCTAGTCATTGTCCGCGTATAGTACTGACCATGACAACGCCAACACTTTGGAACTTCAATATGATGACAACAAAGACATTATGTAGGAGTTCCTCATTAATTTCTTGTTCTCCAAAATGTTTTTTTTTTTGTTTTGTTGTGCTAGATGTGGTATTGCTTTCTACAAGTACCCGTGGATTTGAAATAAAGCAAAAAGTGGGGTGGGATGGAGCATAGGGTAGACCAGAATAGCTATTGTGTGGACACTATTGGTTTTGGTTGTTTCACATTTTAAATCAGTACGTTGTACTACAACCAATATTGAAAACTTTTCTGTGTCCTATAATCAATGTAAAATACTTACTTTAACCTATGTTAAATGTCTATTTTACATTAGTGTGTGGTAAAATTATAAATTCTTGTCTTCAAATAATTTTTTTTTATGATTTACTACCATTAAAAAGTTTATAAAAAATTTGTGCATGTTTCTAAAAAAGATTATATAAGCATAAAACTACAACTTAGGATTGTATCCGAGTATAGATAATCCGTAAACTCAAACTTATTTGAATTGATCCAATAAATTTGGTTTGAATATTTTGAAGGTTTAGATGATACTTAACTCAACCCAACAATAATAATAATAATTTTTATGCGTATTTATTTTTCAGGCATATTTATAATATAGTGATGAAATTTACTCTTTTTGTTTGTTTTTTCTTTCTTTTGCAGTGGTTGAGCAACTCTGCAGCTACAAATCTACTTTCAATTTTAGGTTGTATTAGTGTTTGCAGCTTGGTAACTGATACAATACCACCAGCCCTTACGGAGCATAGGCCCAAACGTGCTACTAAAAGACCCATGAAGTTAGTAGATTATGTGTGACAACCCAATTGTAATTGGGTTATGTTTTTAACTTTAAATAAGCAGTACCCTACACGTGTAGGTACTGGATTGCTTTGTTTCTTTTTGCTGTATTAAAACCTCTGATCATGATCTTTCATGGAGGGAATGAGAATTTCTTAGCGTTAACCTAGTGTAGTTCTATTTTCTTCCAGCAGTCCCTATCATTGGTGCTTTTATTTTTTTCCTTCATGCCTCCCAAAATTACTAAAGACGATGATGCTATTGTCATTCTTACCACCAAAATCACTGAGTTACAATCCAAATTTGAGTCCCAAGCTGAACTTTTCGATCTCGCTATTCTTCTATGGAATCGGCAATGACTAGCAATCAAGAATCCCTCTCGGCTATTATGCACACCTTACTTGATCATTTTGTGTCCCCTTCATCCTCCTTGGATGCATCCCCAATTCCTCCTGACCGACCTCCTAATTTTAATAACCCTACCCATATGGCCGTCCCATCTAGGGATGGCAACGGGGCGGGGCGGGTACGGGTTTTATTTAAATAATTAATTAGAACTAAACTAATAAATAATTAAATTAAATTAAAATAATAAAAAAAACTAAATTATTTTTATAAAAATTGAACTAAAATGAATTTTATGTTCAATTTTATAAATTTAAAACTATTTTTTAAAGAGTAGTTTGTTAGACTTTGCGTAATGTTTGCATGCACGGTTGCGTGTGTATGTGATTTTTACGCATTTATCGACAGGTAAGGGTGTTTAAAAAATTATATTAAACTAAAGTAAAAATTAAATTAAATTAAACTAAATTATAAAAAATTAAACTAATTTTTATAAAAACTAAACTAAATTATATTTGAAATTTAGTTTTAAAAATTAAATTATTATAAAAAGTAGTTGAGTGCACTTTAACTATAAAAAAAAATTTATAATTAGGAAATGTTTTAAATAATTAATTAGAACTAAACTAATAAATAATTAAATTAAATTAAAATAATAAAAAAAACTAAATTATTTTTATAAAAATTGAACTAAAATGAATTTTATGTTCAATTTTATAAATTTAAAACTATTTTTTAAAGAGTAGTTTGTTAGACTAAATTATTAATAAAACTTAATTCTTATTATTAATATATTTTTCGTAACTTTTTAATTTTGTCTATTACCCACTTTTGAGTTAGTATACTAGTGGTTTAGTGCTATTATGCACAACTACACAAACAGTGTAGAATTGATGCGACACGAGACCAAAGCAAGATGAAGAAAGCTGGCTCTGCGCTGGTGCGGTTGGTGCTGTTTTGTCTCAACAGGGTCATCCCTTAGCCTTCTTTAGCAAACGACTTTGTCCAAAGATGCAAGCTTCTTCTGTTTATGTTCGTGAAATGTTTGTTGTTACAGAAGCTATTAAAAAGTGGCGTCAGTACCTAGTGGGTCAATATTTCCAAATCATTACTGACCAAAAAAGTTTGAAGAATTTACTTACCCAGGCTGTCCATACTCCAAAGCAACAAAAATGGGCCATTAAGTTTTTGGGGTTTCATTTTGATATATTGTACCGCCCCGGCAAGCATAATTTATCTGCTGATGCTTTGTCTAGACCAGAGACTGAGACGCCGTCCTTGTTCCATGTTTCTTCTCCTATTCCCTCCTTCATCTCAGAATGGCAGAAATATTATCAAACTACAGGTCGGAATATGGTCGAGCAAATACTTGGGAAGGTTGAAACAAAAGAGATTTTTACCTTCAAGAATGGATTGTTGTATTTCCAGGACCGCCTTTTTGTTCCTGATTATGAAAATTGTCGCCAACAATTGCTGCATGAATTTCATTGCACTCCAGTCGCTGGTCACTTTGGTTTAAAACCCACTGTGTGTAGATTATCTTCTTCATTTTATTGGCCTGATCTTTATGCTGATGCAAAGCAGTTTATCCGCTCCTGCCCCAGTGTCAACAAAACAAGTATCTGCCACATAAAAAATTTGGGTTACTTCAACCATTGAAACAACCAAACCGAGTGTGGGAAGAGATCACTATGGATTTCATTACTCACTTACCGAGTTCCTTTGGTCACTCGACTATTTGGGTCATGTGTGATCGTCTTTCCAAATATGGTCATTTCTTGGCTCTCCCAGCAAAGTTTACTGCACCTCAATTGGCTCGTCGTTTCATGATTGATGTCTTCAAACTTCATGGATTCCCTAAATCCATTGTGTCGGATCATGATCCCCTATTTGTGAGCTCCTTCTGGCGAGAGATTTTTCGACTTCAAGGCACCACTTTGGCTTTTAATTCAGCTTACCATCCTGAAACCGATGGTCAATCTGAGGTTCTTAACCGTTGTTTGGAGGCTTATCTTCGGTGTTTTGCGAGTGACTACCCTCGAGCATGGTACCAATATCTTCATCTGGCAGAATATTGGTATAATACATCTTTTCACTCCAGTATCGGCACGACTCCGTTTCATGCATTATATGGTCATCCTCCTCCTTCGCCCATTGATGTGATTCCCCAAGCATCTACCCCGACATCAGTACAATTGATCCTACAAAACCATCGAGCAGTTTTAGCACAAGTCAAAGCACAACTTTCCCGCACTCGTCAACGCATGAAAACATATGCGGATTTAAAGAGACTCAATCATACCTTTGTTGTTGGAGACTAGGTGTTGTTGAAACTCCAACCGTATCGTCAATCATCACTTCACCGCCGTGTTTCTCAAAAGTTGTCCAAACGCTATTTTGGACCCTTCCGGATTCATCGTCGTATCGGCCCCGTGGCCTACGAACTCCTCCTACCAGAGTCTTCGCGCATTCATCCTGTCTTTCACGTGTCCTTGTTGCGGCCCTACCATGGCAATGATCCCACTCAGCATTTTCAGCCTCTACCCGTCATGGTGACGAACCAAGCTACTACCGAGGGATGCCCCCCTGTTTCCACTGCTGATCCTTCAAATCCCACACCCAATATTTACAATGCGGAAGATATTTTAGTTTCTGAGGGCTTGGAGTTATCTCCCACTATGCATGTGCCCACTTCTCCCACTCAACCAGCTGTACGCGTGTCTCTTGACATGCCACTTCCAATTCCAGTTTCATCTCCACCGTTGAGAGAAAGCACAAGGCCCTCTCGTGCTCCCACGTCAGCATCGATCCGTGGCTTCCCTAGTGCATCCACTGACCTTGAGGACAAGGTCCATTTTGACCAGGCCAGTAATGATACAATACCACCAGGCCTTACGGAGCATAGGCCCAAACGTGCTACTAAAAGACCCATGAAGTTAGTAGATTATGTGTGACAGCCCAATTGTAATTGAGTTATGTTTTTAACTTTAAATAAGCAGTACCCTACACGTGTAGGTACTAGATTGCTTTGTTTCTTTTTGTTGTATTAAAACCTCTGATCATGATCTTTCATGGAGGGAATGAGAATTTCTTAGCATTAACCTAGTGTAGTTCTATTTTCTTCCAGCAGTCCCTATCAGTAACTGATAACATTTCAATAATATAGCATATTTATTTTAAATATTATTTTTTAATTAATGTTAACTATTTGAATTGATAATAATGTAATAAATCAACAAATTTCTTATGAAATTAAGTTTATATCATAGTTTATTTTATGAGTTGATAACATTACAATAATACAATATATTTGTTTTAAATTTTATTAATTTTGTATTAATGTTAACTGTTTGAATTAATAA